AATCAATCAAAACCTACCCAGAACTGACAGATGTTAGAATTGGCAAAAAATAAAAAGAAATAAAAAGAATTAGCATAAACATGTTTCATATGTTTGGAAAGTTAAGTAGAGACATAGAAGATATATTTTTAAAATCCAAATCAAATTTCTAGAGATAAAAACTACAGTGTGTGAGGTGAAAAATACACTGGATGACATTAACAATGGATTAGACAATGCAGAAAATAAAATTTGTGAGTTTAAATACACAGCAATAGAAACTATCCAAAATGAATCATGGGGCAGTGGGTGAAAAGGAAGAGGGATTTTTTTAAAAAGAAGAAAGAAAGGAACATCAATGAGCTACAGGATAACCCCAAGTAGGCTAGTAGGCAGGTAATTAGAGTCCATGAAAGGAGAGAAAAAGAAAGAAGAAAAGATATTTGAAGACATATGGCTAAAAATTGATGATTGATAGTCTCACTTGGATTGAATCATTTGTTCATTCATTCATTAGTAATTATTGAGACTGTACCATGTGCACAAGTGTAGGTGCTGAGGAAACATAAGAGAGAAAAAGAACCTTCTTTGGTTTATATTCCAGTGAGGGGAGAGGAACAAAACACAAAATGAGTAAGTGAGAATTTTAATATAATTCTCAGTCTTGCCACTGACAGCCAGATAATTCTTCACCCTGTGCATTGCAGGAATTTTAGCAGTATGCCTGGCATTTATCCTCTAGATACCAGTAGTAGCTCACCCACCCACTACTTGTGACAATCAAAAAAAAATGTCTCCAGACGTTACCAAATGTCCCTGGGGAGAAGAAGAGCCAGTAATATATTAGAAGTGAAATATACTAGGAAAAAAAATAAAGCAATTAGCAGCATCAGATATGCTGGGATTTTTTATAGCAACTTAAAGTAGAGTGGTAAAGAAAGACCTCGATAAAAACATGGCCATTGGCCTGGGCGCCCAGCCCAGTAGCCTGTAATTACATGCCTGTAATCATAACGCTTTGGGAGGGAGAGGTGGGTGGATTACCTGAGGTCAGGAGTTTGAGACCAGCCTCGCCAACATGGTGAAACCCCATCTCTACTAAAAATACAAAAATTAAACAGGCATGATGGCACACACTGTAATCCCAGCTACTCAAGAGGCTGAGGCAGGAGAATTGCTTGAACCGGGGAGACGGAGGTTGCAGTGGGCTAAGATCACTCCAGCCTGGGTGACCGAGTGAGACTGTCTTTAAAAAAAAAAGTGACAATTGAAAAAAACTTGAAGGAAGTAAGGTCGCATGCTCCAGGCAGGCAGAAGCTCATCCCAGATGTAAAGGTCCTGAGGCAAGAGCCTACCTGACGTGTTCAAAGAAGAGTAAGCAGGTCACTGGGGTTACAAAAGAGTGACCCAGGGGGAAAATAAAAAAAAAAAAAAAAAAACAAAAAAAAATGGGGCAGAAAAGCAACGAGAATGGAATGGAAGAGGGGTACTTCTCCAGGAATGAGCAGGAGGGTCCTGTTATCACAACGAGTAAGGAATGCTGCTTAGGCAAAAACAAGTTAATGCTTACACTTGCCACCGTGTGGCCTTGGACATGATGTTTAAATCTCTTTGGGCCTCAGTTTTCTCATCTGTAAGATGCCTTGCACAATCTTGGCAAAGATTAGATGAGACAGATTTGTGAAGGCACCTCATAACTGTAAAGCTATACAAGCATAAACAAGCATTGTTTAAGACATAAGGATGACATGGTTTAAACAAGTTGCAAGTGTGGTACTTTTTGGGAGAGTTAAGTTATGAAGGATTTTTATGGGTGGAATTTATGGATTTAGTCTATATTTATATAGACTCCCTGTGAGGATCTTGGTTCTCCACCGCCTGGATTTAATTTATATGATGTCACATTTTACTGCACATACTATGTAAGTTTAGCGAAGTTAACACTCATAGCCAAATAATCTACAGCATTTTAAGATGTTCAGTTCTGACAGGTCTGAGTTATCATCCCCAGATTGGCCTCTCTCAAGCTGTGTGACCTTAGACAAGTAACCTAAACTCTCTGAGCCTCATTTCATGGTTTGAAACTGTTAATTGTAATATTTGTCTCAGAAGATTGTTGTAAAGATTAAATGATATATGTTTAATACATTTATTTGTACAGTGGTTTGCATGCTGTAAATGTAAAATATTTGACATATTGACATTGTATATTATTCTATAATAAATAATGATATATTAAGATTAAGTGACCTTGTTCAAATTATGCTAACTTAGGAAAGAGAAAGCACTGGTGTACATGTAGTGTTTAATAAATAGTTGATGTAATTTGCACATTTGTCCCCACCTAAATCTCATGTTGAATTGCAATCCCCTATGCTGGAGGTTTGGCCTGGTAAAATACCACAGGGGTGGATCCATCATGAATGGCTTGGGCCATCTCCTTGGTGGTAAGTGAGCTCTTGCTCTGAGTTCACATGCGATCCAGTCATTTGAAAGTTTGTGGCACTGCCCCCTCCACTCTTTCTCTCTTGCTCCTGCTCTGACCCTGTGCTGTGCCTGCTCCCACTTCTCCTTCTGCCGTGATTGTAAGCTTCCTGAGGCCTCCCAGAAGCCAAGCAGATGCCAGCCCCATGCTTTCTGTAAAGGCTGAAGAACTGTGAGCCAATTAAACCTCTTTTCTTTATAAATTACCCAGAATCTTTATAGCAATGCAAAAACGGCCTAGTACAATCATCCATTAAAATGAGTTGAATAGTATCTCAGTGGTTGAGATAGTCAACCCATATCAGTTTATACTGCTGGTCCAGACCCTGCCAACCCCAGAGGAGAAAGTGTAAAATCCAGGAGTCTAAATGCAGTGCTACCACATCCCACTCTACACTACTGGGAGAAGTGGTCAAAATAGAAATAGCAAGTCTTCTGTGGGCTTCTGCCAGCTCACACACTGGGAATGGTTAGAAATTGCTTTTGAGGAAACAGAAGTGTCTTCTTCCATTCTCCTGTAAGTAAAGGAACTGGCAGCATGGGGGCAGGGAGATGGTGTGGAGAAGGCGGAACCCACCGCCCGGGGATGAAAGGAAGGACTACGTGGGGATGAAAGGGAGAGCAAAGAGTAAAGAGAAAGCTCAACCAGCAGGTGAGAGTCAAGTCCGCCTCCTTCACTCCACCCATCTCCAGACCAAGCTCCCCACTGCCAGGCCACGACCACATGCACCGACCTGCCCGGCCTGGACACGTTTTAGGTCTCACCTCTCCCCACCACCGGTGCACCAAACAACTTCTCAGACCCACCGAACTACCTGCAGGACCTCTCTATTGAAATCTTCTTATTTTGGGCAAGAATATTAATCAAGTTTATATAATTTGCATACCTCTTGACCCAAAAATTTCACTTTTGATAATTTACCCAAAGAAAATATAGACACATATGAGTATTTAAAAATAAAAGTGTGAGATGTCTACTTTACTACTGCTTATAATACTCTAGATGTACAACTATACACACTGTGACTGTCCATCCATAAGGATATTAGACAATGAACAATGTTATAACCAAGCTATGGAATAAATGTCACCTGAGTCATAAAGAATGATGCAGGTTTAGCTGTGTTGCAATGAGCCAGGATGGTCTCGATCTCCTGACCTCGTGATCCGCCCGTCTCGGCCTCCCAAAGTGCTGGGATTACAGGGAAGTTTCTGTACTACTTTTTCACATGAGAATTTATGCTGGTACAGATAGCGCTATTCTATGTTTGTAAAATTGTCATAAATGATGCATATTTATTGAATGCCTTCTGTGGGCCTTGCCGTCCTTGGTACTTGAGAAAAGCACTGAGTGAAGTAGATATTATCCCCGTCTTTGTCAAGTTTATAGTCTAATGGGAATATAAGAAAAAGCACAAATACTGAGAAGTAAACAGAACTGCTGATACAGCAAAGATTTTTAAAAGGGCAAGGGACTCTGGTGGACACGATGGTGGTGGGAGGACAGCCTTAGATGAAGGTTTAGGGATGATCTCTCCAAAGAGATGACACTTATGACCTTAAGGATGGATGGAAATTACCTATGGGCAGACAGAGGAGCAGAATGTTTCAAACAGAGAGCCAGAAGTTTGGAAATAGCCTGTGGTATGTTTGAAAAACTCAAAGAAAGTGGGCCAGAACATGGAGTGAAGGAGCACATGGCACAGAGAGGACAGAGACCAAGGCAGGGGTAGGCCATGTTAGACATTGGAGATCCTGCATCAGAGTTTGGGTTGACTCCAAGAGCTGTCAGAAGCTACTGGAGCGTGGTAAGGAGTGGGAAGATGGGATCAGTTGAGTAAAGAACGTATTGGGAGGGTCAGGAGCCCAAGCAGAGACAGGGCCGGGGCTGTTGCAGTCATAAGGTAGAGAGGTGGTAGCTTCCTGTCCTGGGGCCCTGAAAATGGAGATGGTGAAAGGAAGACAGATTCAGAACGCATCCTACCCTCCTGAGAGACGTCAGGGAGAAAATCATTTCCCCTGTCACACCCCTTGCACCAATGAACCTCAGATCTCAAAAGCAAAGTAGTTATTTCAAAACACCAGTACTTTTTCTTTTTTCTTTTTTTTTTTTTAAGTTGATATCACTCACCTCTGTGGAAATTGTGGGAAACCAAATAACGCCATCTCTGGGGATAATGTACATATCATTAGATAAGGAGACTACAAAGATGGAAAATATCAATACCTTACACAACTTCTTTGCAGAACTGGAAGAAAAGGGTTTTTGTTTGAAATGCAACGTGCACTGCTGTGTGTTTGTTACCCTTTGGCTCCAAACAATGTCCCTCCAACCAACAGCAAATGCTGAATATGTTAGAAAGAGGGGGAGGGAAGGAAGAGTGACTCTTATAATCTCATGATTGTTCTGTACCCCCGTGGGCAAAAGAAGTATGACTGGAATTAGTGGGTAAGAGAGAAAGGGGTGTGAAGCAAAAGTATGACTTTGAGAGTTCACATTCATCAAGTGGCAACTGTGAAAACTGTTTTGCTGCTAGGACATAGTTGACGGCAAGGAAAAAGAAGGACAAGAAGTTGGAACTGTGAATTGCTCTGTCCCTGGGGACCCAGAAGGACTGGAGACTGCAAAGGGTGACTCCCAGACAGCAGCTATAGCGGAGAATAATAATTCCATCATGAGTTTCTTTAAAACTCTGGTAAGCAGTTTTCTCCTCTTTTCCCCTCAACTCTATTGCTCAAAAGTTTTGTTAATTCTAAGAATAATGCACATTTGAATGATCCTGTACTGAATGGATTATCATGGTGCAGTTGGAGCATGGGAGGGAACAGGGACAAGATGTGCTTCATAAGGAAGCTGTGTTACATCAGGCTTTTAGCGAGAGAGCCCCTGAAATTGGGAACCATGGTATAAGCAGTGGATGCCCAAATCATGTACCATGGGCTGTGTTGCAATGGAATTCTGTTGCAATTGAATGTCTTATGGTCCTTGATCATAAAAATAATTGAAAAATATCTCCCTGTGTTATAGATCTCTCAAAGCAGTTTTGCCACTCAAATGGCAAATAAAATACTGTAGAAATCACTCAAAAAAAAAAAAAAAAAAAAAAAAAAAAAAAACTCTGAATGAATGAATGCATAGTGAAGCAGACCGTCCCAAATGTGTTTTGGCATTTCTAAATATCAAGACTAACCTCAAAAGAAAAGACAATGAATGTCAACAGAATGTGCCACAAACACCAGAGGGTTGCACATGTGTTTGGAGTAATGGTAGAATTTATGGCAAGTCTGTGGTCTTCCAGGAGACAGTTTTGAGTGTGGTCAAACTCTTGGTAAATGTATAAGATCAGATGTATCTCATTATAAGATATTAATTTTGTTAACTTTTGTATTACCTGGCAGTCCTGATATTTCTATTGAACTAAAAGTACTTCTCATTTTGTTCTTGACTTGTATGGTGAACTGGACCACCCTAAAGAATTATTTATCTGTGAAATAAAAATCACTCTAAAGAGCAATGATTTCTAATATTTGGCTTTCTCAAACTTTTAAGGTTTCACCTAACAAAGCTGAAACAAAAAAGGACCCGGAAGACACGGTAGGTAGTCTGAAGTATGTATGTATATGTTTGAGTTTGCACATAGAACTGGATTTGAATTTGTGTCTGCTTGCTTGTTTTTTGAATATGTGTGTGTGTATCATATTATATCTATATATGTAACTAGCAATTTAATAGTGCTGTTAGATTGTCTTTAAAATATTTTATTTATGTTAATGGTAGTTTAATTAAAATTTTACTGGAAAGCTTGAAACATGTGCCAACTCTGGCTAAATAATATCACAATACCAATTTCTTATTTAGCGTAAGAACAGAATACTAGTAATTTTATCATCATCTTAGTCTTTTTAGTTGTGTGTAGAGGGACCCAGGGAATATAGTAAAACAGAGTCCATCTAAAGTAGAAGAAAGCTTTTCAGTAGGACATGGACTCTAAAAAAATAAAGTAGAAGAAAGCTGCTATATTTTTGTTTTTTAAAAAATACGTTCTTTTTCAACGTAATTTGAAAAATAAATAAATCTTTACTGCAAAGGCAGCAGTTTGGTGAAATAAAATAGTTTCCATGGGACACTTGCCAAATGGATGGCCATGCAGAGGCATTAGGATACGCTACAGAGCCTAGATTCTTCACTGTCATACAAGAAATTCAGCCAAGTCCCTTCAAAATACATTTGGTTTGAAATAACATCTTCCTAGAGATGTTCTCCCTTTACACTTGACAAGGCCCGTTACCTCTAGTGGAATACACGGTTTAAGTTTCACGGGAACCATGAGGGATGTTTAACTTGGTGACAGATAAGTGTCTTGGGTCCTTCTTCTGATATTGGAAAGTGCTTTGAAAAACAGTGGGATCAGATACATGGCCTGGTTTGCCCCCTACATCTGCTACCCATATGTGAAGGAGTTGGCTGTGAAAAGAGGATCCTAGATTTTGTCTCAAAAGACCTGCATTTCAGCTCCAGTTCTGCTACTTGATAGTGGTACAGTCTTAATCTATCTGAACCCAAGTTTCCATGTCTATAAAATTGGGACAAAAAAATTCTTTCTCCTGGACCCCAGCATTGAATGAAGGTGTGGCAGTGCCTTGCAAACTATAGAGCTCTGATTAAATGTAGCGATCCCTATTTCCATGAGCCCAGCCAAGAATGGTTGGATGACATGACTACATTTGTATTGTATTTATTGGTTCCTCGAGAATTTTCTTCTTCCATTGAAAAAAAAAATGTATCTGAAGCATCTACATGCATTTTCCTATAAAATTATTCATTTGCTATGAGGTCATAGGGTCAAGGTCAATGAATGGTTGGGGCAAAATGTATTTCTTTTGGTTCTATGTCTTGCATTGTTTCAAGCCACATAGTGTAAAAGGATCTAAGCAGTGGGATATGGGGGGACTGTGTGTGTGGCTTCCCAAGTGACCTGATGCACTCATTCTCTTTAGCTGGTCATGCACCAAGACTCCTCCCTGACCCAGAATGTGGTCAAAGCTGAATGTACCTACCTGATAAAATCTTACCATCCTGCCCGGGAAGCCATGGGGTCATGTTAGTGGAGCTGGGTCTCAAAAGAGAGTTTTGTGAATGTAGGTTGTCTATGACACCCACAAACAGATGTGTTTTCTACAAACCTGGTTCTCATACCTTGCAATTTTGATATCTTTTCTACTGAAGTTCTTGGATTCATGCTTTTGAAGTCTGTGTCATTTTCAGCCCATTACCTTCCCTATACAAAAGGCCCTGACATTTGTAACTTGAGTCAACAATCTTGAGTGGTTGTAGCCAGACTATTTTGGTTTCAATCTCCCTCTACTTTGCCTCAGTGGATTGGTTCACAGTAAACATTTTCTTTGCCTGGGGGATCTACCCAACTAGAATTGAATTGAAATTTTTGCAGGTGATATTGCTTCCATAAAGCTTCTAAAAGTGAATCAAAGGGGATCGATTTGAGACTAAAAGACGTTCAGTAGCAGTATTTGCTTTGACGCCAGGATGAAAAATAAATATTTTGTCTGCAGGTATTTTTTACTTTACCGTGTAGCAATAGCATTTAGATATCTACAACTATCAAGTAGAGACTGCATCATCTTGTCCTGTTATTTGTCTTCAGCAAATGGAGATACAGAGTTTTGTTTTGTTCTGTCTTGCTTTGAGGTGTGTTCATCTGGGTCATTTAAATAGGTCACTGTTGAAAATCATTGTGTATCTAAAATTGACTGTGAATATGGAAGTTTAAAAAAGATAAACATTTACACGGTGTTTTGTGGTTAGGAAAGGGGATGATGTACCAACAGTTAATTGTCACAGTGTATTAATGCACTTTAAAACAACAGAAAAGAAAAAGAATTTTGTTCAAAAACAAAGCTCTGAGGTTGTGACTGCTGTTGCCCCAAAGGCATCGAAAGCAGAAAGTGTCTGTGATGGACAAGCTGGTCAGAAGACATCTGAGATCCAGGCTAGAGGCGCCAAGAAAAAGCACCTGGATAGCCCCAGGCTAGGACTTGCCTTTAGAAAATTCTTTAGGCATAAGGTCTGTATCTTGTTAAAGTAGGAGGAAAAACAAGAACTCTGGTCTTCACAAGACATGTGCCATCCTGAGCCCACCCAGCTCCTCTCCAGTAAAAACAGAGCCTTGGGTGGTGAGGATCATTAAAAGAGAATTAAAGATGATATGAATTAAACTTCAGTGATTTTTAAGTCCCCGTAGTCAAACATTTCAAACAGATATCTTCCTAGTGTGGACCAGGGTTCTGGAACTATTCTTCTAACCCAGTATTTCCCAAATGTCAATCACTTGTATACCACCTTCACCATTTTTGTTAGATGTACTATTATTTGATATTTTTACATTGAAATTGACCTATTTTCTATTTAAATCTATCTTTAAAAGAAACCTTATGTCATATATAGAAAATCAGAATAATTTTTCGTAAAAGGAAGGTAAGCATTAATATGGCTAATTAAAAAGACATTACATTCTAGCTACCTCATTTGTGTTAAGCTCTGAATCTGATGCTCTTTCTAGCTTTATTAAAAGGTGATTAATTGGCCAATGTTAGAAAAATGTTAAAGATGTACCATCACCAGACTGAGACTTTCTCCAGAATGTTAATATAAGGATTAAATGAGAGTTGGAAAAAGAGAAGTATTTTCACTATTTGAATACTATTTAATATCATATTTCTGCACAATCTATAATATTCTCTGATCCACCAGTGGTATGCTTCCTACATTTTGGGAAATACTCTTCTAATCTCAAGTAACAACGTTATCTTTCTGTGGTCTGTTTCATCTATTTCCAATATTAACTAAGCTTACACTGAACCCAAATAAAAGTCCAGGCGGAAAAAAGCAATGAATGAAGGCAGAGCACGTTTTAACTCCATGTCCTTGGGAAGCTGGACAACACTGAAGTCAGTTTGGGAAGTATTACGCTTCCAGTGTCTAAGAAGACGCCAGTGTTTGTCTGAAACCATCAGTTTAAAGGATCCCTGAATTGGGTTAGCGTGCGTGAAAATTTGTTTAAAATATCAGCCATTTTCCACCAAGTCGAATGCATGTATTAAAAAAACATCCCTACCTGGATGTCACACAGTCCCGGGATTGTATATGCAAATAAGCACTCCATAGAAAGTTCTCACAGCTGAATCTGTATTTACATAAGCGGACTATGTTATGAAGCCACGTTTCAATTTCCATACAGGAGAATTTTGTTCTGTAAAGAGAAAAGAATGGGGAGTGATAAATCTTGCAAGGGGGGAGGGGAGATTAAAATGTGCTCCACCATCACATGGGAAATAACTTAGTAACTGCTGGTGAAACGTGTCATAGATCTCATATGAAAGAAGAGTTTGACTCCTACTTGGAGCTTTTGTAAGTAAGGGGCCTTGAAAGTTTAAGAAGTATATGACATTTCCCCAGATCTGCATTTCATGATGACATTCACTTCACGCACTACAAAATTTTACATCTGCAGTATCTCTTGCCACCCATAAAGGGACCACCCAAATTCAATGTTATCATTCCTAGGGCTTCCAAAAACCGTTGGCCTCCCATCTTGTCACTGAGATAGACAGGGAAAAGACAGGATTCTGGAATAGTGGGAAGATGTAGAGGGAACAGCCTTCTGGGATCCTGTCACACAGACACAAGAACCTCAGGGTTTTGCCTTGAGTGGCATTCAGTGTATTTTTTTATGTAAGTGTAAATCCAAGTAAGGGACACCTCCCAAATGTTCTGAATTCTTATTTTCGCAGCAGTTTGTTAGAGCTCATTGCCTTTTACCTCTGCACCTGAGACAGTTTATTTCTTTTTCTCTTTTGATTATTTCTGTTGTCTCTAAAGATAGGAAAATAGAGCCTTTAAATAACCAGCCAGATTCTCTCAGTGACGTTATCATGATTTTAGGCGGTGTGATACTCTCCATTTCCCCATGGGTTTGTCACCTGGAACAGAAAACGGGAAATTCAAGCCAATTAAAGGATAAAACCATTTTGCTATTAAAAAAAAAAGTTACCAATTCTGGTTAATCCTGGGGGTTTATTTCTCTGTATCTCTATGATCCTTCTTATAAAAAGAATTTTCTCAGTTCAAAAAGTGGGGAAGTCTAAAATCAGTAAATGAAATACATTTAGTGTCAGCTTTTGCTGAATTGGAACCATTTTTCTTGGCTTAATGGCATGTGATGTCTCAGAATCAAACTTTTTCGTGTGGCCACCACTGTTTGGTGACAACTTTAGACACAAAACAGAGCATTGCTTTAGAATGCTTTTGCCAGGCCCCAAAATGCCCCCCTCCCTCCTCAGGTTTTCCCCATGCCTACCCTTTCTGTAAGGCAGCTGAAGTATTCCAAGCAGCTTGCATGATTCATAAGCTCTACCATTCATTCATTGTTTTTGGTTCTTGGTGTAGTGTTTACTAACATCTCCTCTCTCCCATACCCAATGTGAAAACAAGATGAAAATGTATTAAGAAGGTAAGGTCATTTGACATACAATCTCCAAATTGAATCCGCTAGAATTTCATAGGTAGGGCCACCAGGTAAAATATAGAGGACTCAGTTAAATTCAAATTGTTGATAAACAAGGAATAACTTTTTAATTTAAATATAAGTATATCCCATGCAATATTTGGGACATACTTATGCTAGAAAATTATTCTTGCTGATCTGAAATTAATATTTAATGGAGTATTTTATATTCTTATTCTCATGTGCTAAATCTGGCAACCCTACTCATGAGATTGCCTCCGAAAACACAATTAAAATTTTTGTAGTCTCCTCTGTAATGCAAACAAAGAATATCCAGTTGGTTGATGCTGGCAGAACTCCATCTGGGAGACTTCTTTGGGAAGGGAGGAGAGTGGTGGGCAGGAATGAAAAGACTAATGGTGTTCTGACTGGTTCTCTACAACCCAGTGAGGAAGGGGTGGGTGGCTGGAAATATGGCATGGCAGGATCTAGTGTGGGTGTCTCTCTCTGGTCCCTGTCATAGACTGTAATTATTAATTGAATGATTGATTGTCTGTTTCCTGCCAGAAGGTAGGCCTGATGGGAATTAGGGATGTAATCATGGCCAAGACTTTCTTGGTCTTGGGATATGATGATGACCCAGACTCTAGCAAAAGAGATACATATTCAACAAACAACTACACAAATAAATTAGAATTTTATTATTACTATAACTATAGTACGGTCGTGCCCTTGTAATGTTTTTTCAGGGGTTTCTGGATATCCTCCCAATGCAAAGAGAAAACAAATTGGTCATTTCCCTATGAAATTGATCAGAATAGATGTGTTTCCCAGTCTTTATCTCAGTGTCATCCCCCACCACGATGCTTTCTTGGACTGTTTTTTACCCTAATCACCCTTCCCTCCACGAAATTTTAATGTAACGAATATTCTTTATACCTGTTAATGCACTGTAATTCTTTAGGGGAGCCACAGACCATGTTAATATCTAATTTGTCATAACCCTTCTCCCAAGAACAAAGGCAATTATTATTTTTTGTTGTATATTGCCCTTGTTGAGAATGGTGGTATAGATTTCCTTCCCTGATGGGTGGAATAGCCCAGGGAGCAGGAAACCTTGCTTCACTGGAAACAGTGTCGTATGGAGTCACTATTAGTGCTTGGGTTTGGGGATCAGACTCCCTGGGTTCAATTGTCAGCTCTGCCCCCTCGTAAAGTAACCGTGGGCAAGTTACTTAGCCACCAAGCAACTAAATTTCCCTGTCTGTGAAACTGACATAAAAATTAGTGTCTTCCTATAAGTTGTAGCATTTGATAGTACCATTAGAAAATTATAGTTAACAGTAATTTATTGCATATTTCAAAATAGCTAGAAGAGAAGAATTGTAAGTTTCCAACACAAAGAAAGGATAAAAGTTTGAGGTGATGGAAATTCCAGTTACCCTGGTTTAATCATTGCACTTTGTATACAGGTACCAAAATATCACATGTGACCCCCGAAAATATGTACAACTATGATTCATCAATTTCAAAATAGAAAAAGTAATAGTTCCCTCCTCATAGGACTTTTGTCAGGACATTCAGGTGCTTAAAACAGTGTCTGTCACTGTTACCTTTTATTCTTGTCATCAAATAAAAGTTTAAAGTTGGAAATTATGTCTTCAAGATGCAACGATGGTCCAGGCAGACAAGGCAGAGAGAGAAAGGGTGGTGGCTGAGTGGTGAAAACGGCCAAGTATGCAATGCATTAAGCAAACTGGAGCTGTCGCAGGGAGCAGGGAAATTCTGGCACTCAGGACCTGGAGGCCTTGTTTTTTGTAACCTCTATGTGACTCTGGGTAAGTGGGCTAAATGCACATCAAAGGGAACCCTTGAGCCAGAAAAATAACACAGCATTTAGAAAAGGTACAAAGCCAAGCCACAGAAGTTACACCAAAATAGCATGGGGCCATGAAGCCTCCCTTCTGATGACTTTGGCAGGATTGATGATTGGCTTAAAGCAACCAGAGCCCTTTCTTAGAGATAGGGATGAGGTCAGCCCCAACCCCCCGGATTCTTGGTCTAAAATGGACCACTGGGCATATGGAGATTCTCCCAGGAAAGCAGAAGGAGAGGTTGTTGTTGGAGAAGTAGCCACGCTTGGCCACTCTTTGCTCCGATACTTGCTGAAGGATCGTAGGGCAGTTGTTCCCTGTGCATGAAAAACTCTCCTCTTCCCTTCTCTGGTTAATTTTCAGTCCCCTTTCAGATCAAAGCACAGCCATCCTGTTCTCAGTAAAGCCTTCCCTGATTTTCATGAGTGGATCAAACTCTTTGATTTAGCTTTTTATGGGATTGAGAGGAATAACCTCAAATCCCCTCCCCACTCAGTAGCACTTATTACAGTTGAAATTTTACATTTGTTGGTGGAATTATTTACTGTCATCCTCTCCCTAAAGACGTGTAACCCCAACACTTAGAATATATCATGGCTCAGAGAAGACATTCAAAGTGGCTTTTAAATGAATTAATGAATAATACTTTCTCTTATTTTCTAAAATAGAAAAGCTACTTAGCATATGTGTGTTAGGAGGAGGGGTACTTACCCTTTAACCAGTCCCCTTTAATTTAATTACTGTGTAGAGCTAAAATAGCACCAGGTGCTCAAGACCATTTGGGACATTTGTAATGCAGGATTTTATGAGCTCAGCCATTTTGACTTCACTGTCTGTGAAAGGCAAAGGTTATTTTAAATTCCAACATTTTGCCATTTTGTATACTTTTAAATGGAACTGGAGCTATTCCAGTATCAACTATCACAAAATTCATTTCCAGACATTAGTTCTTTATCTTAACTTGAACTTAGAATCTGCTCAATGGATGACTCCTTCTTAGTACTAAAAAATTCAGCAAAGAAGATGTTGTGTCTTACATCAAATAGTAAAGTTCATGTTATTTGCAAACATCCTTTGGAGAAGCAATGCACTGCCTTGGAAGAGCTCTAGACAGCAGCCAGAAGTTCAGGCTTGAGGCCAGGTTGTGCCCTTGTTCAGTGTTGGGCAGATCATTGGCCTCAGTTTCCCCATCCGTGAAAATTCATGCATTGGACCAGATGGGCTTTAAGATTCTTTCCAGGATCAAAAAATACTATCAAACTTTCTGAATTTGTCCATATTCTATTTTTCTTTTTTTTTTTTTTTTTTTTTTTTTTTTTGAGATGGTGTCTTATTCTGTTGCCTAGGCTGGAGTACAGTGGCATGATCATGGCTCACTGCAGCCTCCTGGGCTCAAGCAATTCTCCTGCCTCAGCCTCCAAGTAGCTGGGACCACAGGTGCAAGCCACCATGCCCAGCTCATTTTTTATTATTTGTAGAGATAGGGTTTCACCATGTTGCCCAGGCTGGTCTTGAACTCCTGACCTCAAGAAATCCTCCCACATCGGCCTCCCAAAGTGCTGGGATTACAAGTGTTGGGCCACCACACCTGGCCCATACCCCATTTTTATTGCAATACATTTTTTCTTTTAGTCAGAAAATTTAGTCAAGGATATTACATCCCTGGGAATTTAAAGGGATTGAGTCACAAGTATCCGGAGCAAAAAATCATAAAATGAAGATGTTTAGGATTAAGAGGTTACGTCAGATGAACCTGATGTTAAAATTATGAGTACCAATATTCACTCGTGTCAAGACAGATTCTGACTATAATTCTCCCAACTCTTCCTTTATCTCATGACTCAGTGGGTGGCAGAGTGTAGAAATTAACACCGCCTTGCTGAAGAAATCAGGTGTCCTGGAATTGGACTTCAGGGCAGCTGCTCAGAGAGAGACAGAAAGAGAGAAGGGAGACAAGGACAGAGGAAGAGAGAGAAAGACAGAGGGATGGAGGGGGAGGAAGGGAAGAAGGGAAGGAAGAGAGAGGAAGAGAGGAAATAAAGACCGAATGGATAACATTTGAAGAAGTTTTAATTGTGGAGTGTAGGGGCTGCACCTAAAAGTGAAGAAATAGGGTTTGTGGACACTCTTCCAATTCAAGACCCTTTCACAAACTTCCAGTCTAGCTGTCTTTTACTAACTTTATAGCCTAACTCAATCATCCCCAAAGTGGAGTGTGGAGAAAAATTTCAGAAGTTCTATATTTATTTTAACTCTTCTTTAATTTCTAATTTTGATTAGTAAAATGATACGTTTATAATATAGACATAAATAAGTATGCATGTATTGAAGGTGGAAATTCAAAATGTTTTTACTGATGCGAACTTGATTGAAACCGTTTGGAGACCAGTGGCCTAAATCAGAACTCCATATTCTAACAGCAAAGGGCCTCTTACCACCACCTTGATTCCTAATGAGTTACTTACATAAACATAATTAATAATGCTTCCATGTTTCTTTTTTGAAAGAAAAATATCTTAACTTTTTCCAAGATCTTAACACAAGTCCACATTCACAGTAAAAAATTTTTAAATACACAAAAATATAAAGGAGAAAATTAACATTATGTATAACCTCAGTCCATGTTTATTAAAAAGAGATCTTCCATTTTTAAAATTTTGAGACCATTTTGAATGTTTTCCTTTCATTTTTTTAACTCTTTAGGGTGCTGAAAAGTCACCCACCACTTCAGCTGACCTTAAGTCAGACAAAGCCAACTTTACATCCCAGGAGACCCAAGGGGCAGTCAAGAATCCCAAAGGATGTAACCCATCAGGGCACACACAGTCCACCACAACCCCTGAAACTGCGAAGGAAGGCATCAAGGAGAAATCAGGCCCCACCTCTCTGCCTCTGGGCAAACTGTTTTGGAAAAAGGTAAGTCTAATTTTCAAGCTTTAGAGAGTCATCAGGATGGGGATGACTCGAGAAATTCTTTCTATTGGGCTAACTGTTGTACTCAACAATGTATGGAAGGTGTTTTTTCTTCTTCTTCAAAATGTCTCGACTTGCCATTGAGTTGAAGCCTTCTAATGTGTTCCCAGGAAGAATGAAATGCCTGTCATGTTATAAACATGTGTTTCATGGGGAAGAAGAGGAAATGAACAAGTAGAATTTTTCATTCTTTGAGTGACTTCATTTCATGACAGAGGGTTGTGGTATTTCATGATTTCATTTTCATTCTGAAATGGTTTAAAACTCTGGCTTCAGCCGGGTGCGGTAGCTCACGCCTGTAATTCCAGCACTTTGGGAGGCCAAGGCGGGCGGATCACGAGGTCGGGAGATTGAGACCATCCTGGTTAACCCGGTGAAACCCCGTCTCTACTAAAAATACAAAAAATTAGCCCGGCGTGGTGGCCGGCGCCTGTAGTCCCAGCTACTTGGGAGGCTGAGGCAGAAGAATGGGGTGAACCTGGGAGGCAGAGGTTGCAGTGAGCCGAGATCGTGCCGCTGCACTCCAGCCTGGGTGACTGAGCAAGACTTCATCTCAAAAAAAAAAAAAAAAAAAAAAAAAAACCTGGCTTCTTCGTGGTCTCTTTGAGCACTCTTACTCTGGCAAGATGAGCCACCTAGGGACTCTCTGTCTTCACTCCTCCCCAGTCAGGCAGAATCATTCATTATCAGCCACTAGGTCTCCACTCTCCTTTTAGAAACCTAGGGGGTGTCCATCAGTTCACCACTAGGGTAGGCACACACTGCTCTATGACAGGAAAAGTCAAACCACTGTCCGATTTTGTTCCCGTCTGAGGTCTGAGTGGTGCAAGGACAGGGGGATTAGGGCTGAGTTATTCTAGATCTATTCCTCAATTATCATTGCTGAGCAAGCCCCAGCTGCTACACATGTGCAGAGCTTGTGTCTGTTTTAAATTCGGCCAAAAGATGAGCAAGAAGTTGGAGATGAGGGTGTGGGTGGAATTCGTAGAGTTGGAAAAATCTAACTTCAGAATTTCATCAAAACATCTATTGCACTTGGCACACCACGCAAAGCAGATGATGAATGCAGATGTCACTGTGGTGTCAGCTTTACTCTCTCATCCAGAATCCAGCTGGATGCCAGGCCTGTTCCCTGTTTGCTTCCTGTCATACAGAAACCTTCCTTCTAGGTTCTTCCCAGAACACAATCTTCAATATTTCATAAAAACTTTGGATGATGTCAGCTTACACATTCTGTTGTAATCCTTTTTCTTCATCACCCGCCATTACTTATCTGAAAATATCTTTTACCAGCAATATAATAGAAGAAACAATTTCCAAGTGAGTTATACGCATATATGGGAGACAAGAGAGAAGACTTAAGTGGCCCATATTTGAATAATTTTAGTTAAATAATTATTACGTATTCATATGCATATTCAAGGTGCCTTAGGAAAAATAGAGTTAGCACATTAAATTTGAGATTAACGTATGTTTTGCTCAAGGTTAAAAAAGCATATGTTGTTTAAAAAGGAATCTAATAAAAAGGATAGGCCGGGCGCGGTGGCTCACGCCTGTAATCCCAGCACTTTGGGAGGCCGAGGCGGGCGGATCACAAGGTCAGGAGATCGAGACCATGGTGAAACCCCGTCTCTACTAAAAATAGAAAAAATTAGCCGCGCAGTGGCGGGCGCCTGTAGTCCCAGCTACTCGGGAGGCTGAGGCAGGAGAATGGCGTGAACCCGGGAGGCGGAGCTTGCAGTGAGCCGAGATTGCGCCACTGCACTCCAGCCTGGGCTACAGAGCGAGACTCCGTCTCCAAAATAAAAAATAAAATAAAAAATAAAAAATAAAAAGGATAGCGTTATATCAATAATCGTTCTGATAGTAGATAAATAATGGTAAATTTGGGTCCTCCGAGAAGCAGACACCAAGACAGAATTGACATGCAAGAGATTTGTTGGAGGAAGATATCTGTGAAGAAGTAGGAGTGGCAGGGCTAGGTACAGAGGGCCTTCAGACTACAGAGAGTTCTGACCATCTAGGAAGAAAGAGAGAGAAGGAAGGAGGAGTGGGTGGAGAAAGCCTCAAACTGAGGGTGGTTCTAAGAAAGTCCTGACCAAGCCAATGGAGAATCGTAGAGTACAGATTGCGTGTTCTGGGAGGCCCACACTGGACCGGAATGAATGGCTCAGTCAGTACTCCTGTCGTGCCCAGTCATTGGTAAGAGCCCCCAGGGAGAGGAGTGGATGCTAAAGCCATGACAGGTGGGACTGTCCTTCTTGCAGGAATCTGAACAGCACGTTTCCATGGCTGCTACAGATGATACGATATGGCAAAAACCACACAGGTGGCGTGCCAGTGGCTGAAGTTTGAGGAACACTGATGTAAGAGCTAAAAGTCTGAAATCAGACAGATCTGATTTTGAGACTCAGTTCATCTCTATGAGCTTTCGTTTCCTCACTTGTCAGATGCAAATGATGACAGTACCTATGTCATACAAATGAAGTAAGGATTAAGAGAAATAATGATGGTAAAACCTCCAACACTGGACCTAGTACAAAAGTGCCCATTGAACAGTGTTACCTCTCATGTATTTCCTCTGTGCTCAGGAGGGTTGAAGAACTAACCGTGCCGACCTGTTTATCTTTCTGTACTGTCCAGTTTGAGAAAGCTGCTAAACTATTGCCTCAAGTGCTTATTTAAGGTTTGGAATCTACAAGAGATACAATGGTTCTTCTTTGAAGTTCAAGCTATTCCTTTGAAAAACAATGTCAGGACAACTTGACATTCATCTTCCTAATGATAGAACTTCGTTTATTTCAGTCTCACTGTCTTTTGTGCCACTCTTTAGCTTTATTTATTTAGTATATCATTAAAAATATGAAGTTAAAAGAAATCAAAAACCAAATCCCTTGTGTCTCTCCTTCTTGCGCCCAATCAGAAGAAAAGGCTCTACAAGGAAGTTTTACTTATTCAACAATATTTTAATTACTTCATTTGTGCTAAGTTGTTTTGTGCTAAATAGTTTGTGCTAAATACTAGGCATTGAAAAAGCAGCAGTAAACAAATGTCTACCCTTTCCTAGCTTATATTCTTGTAAGAAAGCGTATATTCTAGTAGAAAACAAAATGAGGACCTTTGTTTTCTTTAAATTACAAAGACTATGATTATAAAATCACCCTTGTAAATTTTTGAAGAGTTTTGAAAAATGCAAAGGGAAATTCTAGGAAATTCTTACATTTTCTTATATTTTCACTGATAACTAACCTCACCTCTCTTTCTTCTCTCATTTTTAATTGAAAAGCTTTCAAACATACTGATTTTCAAGTTTATAAGCCTGTAGTTATGGACAGCAGAAACGAATTTTTCCCAAAACAGGCTATGGATATGAACGTATAAGTTGTTTTGATTTATAGTCTTTATTGCTAGGGTAGTTATTATTATAAAATTTAAAAAATACCTTTAAGGAAACCAATTTCAAATTATGTTGTATTTTCCAAAAACATGTTTAAAATGCAGTTAACTGGAGTAAATATGCCCTTTATTGTTCTGAGTAAACTGGGTTCTCACTTGCTCTGTGATGCAAATACAGGTTAAATGTGAGATCCAGGCATGGCTCAAAGAACTGACTCAAAGAGGATGCTATAATACATCAGTCATAAGTTATTTACACTATTTGAGTTTCTTTTCCTCATTTGTGGAATAAGAGGATTGGGATACATAATGTTGATAATTCTTGTGTATGGCAAGGCTTACATAACAGAATCAGAAAGGTTGAACTGTGTGTCCCTGGACAAATTGCTTGACCACTCAAAGACCCTCCTTTCTAATCTGTAAAATAAGGACTATGTTTTTCTCACAGTATTGTTATAAGAAACCAATAATTGTACATATAAAGCACCTAATATATAGTATGTGCTCAGTGAATGATGTCCTCATTTCTTGAAGTATGAACAATCAGTGATCATGACTAAATATGCACGTGTGGCTTCTGGTGTTAACACCACCCTAAGTACAAAACAAGTATAAAATTCATTTGCTATCATCAAAAGATTTGAAATCCATTTGGAGGACCATGATACACACACACACACACACGCACGCACACACATGTATTTGTAATTAATAATTGATATATTTGGAATATCTTCAAAATAGCCCTTTTCTGCTTTCCTTTGGGGGAGACAAAGAGTGCGGTGGGAAAAGAATGTGCACTCTGAAGCCACAGAGACTTATCAAATCTCAGTTCTGACAGTGACTGACTGAATTTTAGCGGAGCACTTAAACTCTTGAGCCTCAGTTTCTTGAGTTATAAAATTGGCCAATGATATCTATCTTTCATGTTTATTGGGAGGAATGAGAAAGAAAGAAAAGAAAGAAAGAAAGGAAGGAAGGAAGGAAGGAAGGAAGGAAGGCCGGCCAAATGACTGATATGCAGTGAATTATAACCCCATTCTGAAACAATGAAATTTGCAATTTAGTGTTACTCTCTGGAGTACAGGTAACAAATGCTATGGTTGTTTAGAAAAAGGAGCAATCAGTGTACGTCAAAATAGACTTAAAAACTTAAAAAATGTATCTGAATCATTTGGGTGATTTGTTTCAAATACAGATTTTAACACCTTCCCATGGGGATTCTGGTTGAGAAAGTCTGGGCATATGTCTGGACAATTATGGAAGCACTTGAAAGATGGGTTGACCAATCTGGGCTTAATAGAAAATGTCTTAGGGCTACTGTGAGCTTAATGAACTCAGAAGAGCTGTCACATGATCAAAACGATGCTTTCAGAAGATTCACGAGGAACAGGGCAAATGCTGGCTTAAGTGTTACCATATGAAAGTCTTTTAAAGAAACCTTAAGAGTTGAATTTGCTCTTTAAAGGAGAGGCAACTCTGTTATTCTAGTTTCTATGGATAAGTTATCTGCTGTTTAGCTCCCCTATTCTTAGCAATATAAATGT